TACCACTGGACATGAGCTACACACCCCCTGCAGAAACATATGGTGATGATGACTTGGGGGTGTGGACACTGATGAGGCTGAGTGACTGGTGAACATGGCAAAGTGCAAGTGCCGCCCGGGAGAAACGGGGGGTCAGGTCGGAGGGGCGAGAGACAATGGCCTCGAATGTGCCATTCAGGCGCGGTAAGGTTCGCGGACGACGATGGAAGATGAGGCTGTTTCGGTGAGTGAAGATTTGACTGGCTACGAACCAATGGATCTAGAAGTGAACGTAAAGATGCAGGTGAATGAAGGGCCAAAGGGCAAAGGGCAAAGGGGCCAAGTTGTGGGTGGGTGTGGTTGTCTGCAGCAACCTGCATGGTCGACTGCTGAGCTGGGGGGTAATGTGAGCAGCAGAAGGGGGGGCGCGAGTCGGGCCCCTTCACGTTGGTTGCCTTATTTTGTTTTGGCATGCTGCCGCCAGCTGACCAGCCGACGCGATATGATGCTGACGCCCGTCCACAGAGGAGAATTGGGATCGAACGTGGGAGGCAATGGCTCTGGCTCCGTCTTGGGGTTAGGTGCCGTAGGTAGTGAAAGGCGAAGCAAGATCTAGGTAGACAAGACAGCCAAGCCGATATGCCCTGGTCAAACGATCAGATGAGGATGAGGATAAAGCTTTTTAATGAGTCGCTGCGCGCTGCCGATTGATTGGCGCAGAAGGGAGTTGGACGTATATGTAAGGTTAAGGGACCCTTGAATGCCTACAGATAAGGCACCTTGACCCCTAGCCACATTCAGCAGATGGGCACGACCAGCGGCCATGATCAAACGTTTACTATGCTGGCTACCTACCTACCTACCTACCTACCTAAGTCAGGTAGAAAAGGTACCTACCTCTCGAGGAGAGACGGGGGACTCGATTTCCAATTGCACCACAATCCAGACGATATACTTCTCTTCAGAGAGAAGCATCAGAGAGATACCGTTCGAACGCAGGGGCCGACAGCTGCTTGGCGTGTCGACCTCTGTTGCACACAGAACTTACTTGGCACCTGAGGACGTCAAGAGTTTGCATCCTTGCCTTCAACTGGATTTCGTCGCGCAATGGCAAGCAGCAACTGAGTCAGGGCCAAACCATCTTACGCGGGCCCAGACAGCGGTCCTTCCAGCCAGAAAAACACACTCCACGCGCTATCCTGTGAGTGGGCTGCTGAAGTCCGAGTGTTTATTAAGGGGGTTCTCCACAACAAAAGGCCTCCCGCCAGGGGGCTGGGATGACGCTGGCGCAGCTTCGTCAGGATGGTGGTTCTCGACGGAGTGGGCGCTCATCTCTGCACACTGTGCCATCACCAATCAGAGCCTCCAGAGCAGAATACTGCCTCAGTCTATATCCGCTTTCCAGCGACATCAGCCAAACATAGGATGGTATTCTCGACTCACGCCCCGCCCCGTTCGTATACGCACAGTAATCGCTGCTCATTGGTCGTGAGGCCTCCTTAGTATCTGCACTACCTTACATTGTGCTCGGCCCAGCCTACACACGGCCGACCCGGTGTCTGCCCGCCCGCCAACTACCTACCATGTACCCTCCCAGCGCCTCCGTCCAACACGTTCGGCTCATGACCCAAAGCCTGCACGGCCTTTCCCCCTTCCTTCCCACCTGGTAATTCCAGTTTCAGTCCCAGTTCCTAATGAGTCCACCGCGCCGCCTGGGCTTGGACACTCTCGACTTTCGTCCTCCACACATTATTGCGCCTCCAATCCCAAAGCCCTCTCGTTCAACGTATCACCACCCACACAACCACCCATTCCGCGTCACCTCCGTTATCGTTGCAAAGCGGTCAACTGCTCATCTTTGAACCGTCGGTCACTTGACTGTTCTTCGTTCCCGACCGCCGGCCGCTTTCGCCGCTGGAAGCAGCGGCCTCTCGGGGCGGGGGTCCAATTCCTGACACCTCATGTCTCCTTGATCTGTCCTCGTCTGCCACAGCTTGCTCCAACGCTACGAACCCGAGATATCTCCTGTCTTTGTATTTAGACGCGGAATTTCCATTGATTGAAAATGGACTCTTCCCCCCACAGACAGCCCGGTGTTGGGCCTGCCGATTCGGCCACCACTTCAGTCAGGACTTCCATCTCCAGCCGCCTTGACAGCGATGATGATTACGACCTCAGCGCCATGATGATTGCCGACGGCTTCAGGCCCTCCGATTCCCTACCGATGTCGACACAACCCCCCTCAACTTCGCTGGCCCGCGATCCGAACCAGCCTCTTCATCTTGCTTCATCCGCCTCGTCTGTCTCCACACATGCACCCGAAGCATCTTTCGCCCCGCCATCCGCTCGACCGTCGAGCATTGCAAAACCTCCTCGAACTCACGACCCCTTGGCTCTACGTCACGATGGCGCTCTAGGACATCTCAATGCCGCACGCCTATCCAGGACTCCCAGTAGCTCGACGGCTATTCCCTCCGAGTACTCTGAAAGCACAATCAATGGCTCCTCGGGCTCCTCAACTGCTCACCATGCTTATCCGCAACGCACCTTCAGCGTTGCCACTTCATCAACCATGCCCATATCAGAAAGATCATATGCTGGACCCCAACGCCCCACGCATCCCTACGGCCTCTACACACAAACGACCGCGCCTGTTGACGCCCCGCATGACTCGGACATCCCGGTGGGGTTTGGGAGGCCAGACAACTACCGAAGGCGTATCGGGCCCGACGGCGAGGAAATTGCCGACATGATTGGACCCCTCGGGCATACCGAGGAGCTTCCGCCGTACAGCAGATATCCGGACGAGGCATATGCGAGGAAAACTACGGGGAGCAACGAGCAGGAAACGGATGCCGATGCGACACCTCAACAACCAGTATCGAATCCGCCCATCCCCGGAGCAGGAGGCATCGGGCTGGCGACACGGAACCCCGAGTTCGAATCAAGGGATGATCTTGACACACCACAATCGAGGCTTTCTACACGGAGTGTCACATCTGATTCTGTCAGCCAACACGAGATCAACACAGCCGCCCAGACCTTCAACGAGAAGGATGACCACCGCTGGCAGAAGAGAGCGAAGAAACGCATGTGGGGCGTTGTGCCGTACTGGGCTGTCTGCCTCGTAGCAGTCGCGCTTCTTGTCATGTGAGTCTCGCTTTGAATTGCCACAAAACACACGAAGCGTGAGCTAACCACCTTACAGGGGCATTATTCTTGGTGCGGTAATAGGCACTCTTTTCGCGAAAGAGGATTCCAATAAGCCAGGTCAGAACCAGACGAGAGCGCCATACCGATCACATACACGACGCAAACACTGGACACGTTCCCCTTACCAACCAAGCCTGCTGACCTGCCTCCCCTCGACACGGGAACCTTCAGCTTGCCACCACTGGTTTCCAGTCAGGCTCCTACTACATGTTTCAACGACACTACTCAGGCTCAGGCTTGGACTTGCAACATTCCGTTTACAATATACGCTATGGCTGTTTCTAAGCTGCCCAATGGCACGCCTATATCAGACTACACCCTTCAGCTAACCCTCTCCAACGGTTCCAGTATCTCTGGCTTGTACAATTGGGGCACTCAACCACCGACGATTGATGATCCCATAATCATGAGACTTGTCAAGGATAACGACGCACCAGAACTGGGCCCCGCCTGGTTTGCTCAAGTTGCCTACAACAAGACTGTGATCATTGCGGAAGACAGGTTTCCTAATGTTGGGTCCATGTCAAGCAAGAACACAGTCAAGCGGAACTGGGGCTTGGAACCCCCCACGGACCTTAAGGGCAAGGGCGTCATTGGTACCAATGCCGGGGACAGGCCATGGATTTGCACATGGCCCGGAACTCTGCTCGAGGTCTTCATTTATCCTTCTGAGAACAACAGTTTCAGCGGCTCACCTAGTCCGTCTACTTCGAGCGACGCCACAACATCAACAGCACCCACGTCATCTACTAACGAGCAACCAGCCGCTGCGCCATATGGGCCTCCGACAACCACTACGAGAACGCCGAAACCGCCGGCGCCACCCTACCCCAAAATTATGAAGATTGAAGAAAGTCGTATTTCCGATGACGACACCCGTGCTGCTGTCTGTCAACAGGTTGAGATATGCGATGACGGGTTTACCTCCGTGCCTGTGATTGGCGTCGATGGAGATCCAATCCAGGTCATCATTGTCGAGAACCAGCGGCTCGTCGCATACCACTTTGAGGAATCGAAGCGTTCGGTCAGAGACAACTCTCTGAGGCCAAGAAACAGTCAGCCTTATAGTCAGTTGAGCGAGTGTGGGTGCATGTGGTGGTTTACTTGAAAACGGTTGAGCAGCGAACGGCGATGGAAGATTTCATGTGTTGAATGTATCAAACATTGGGCGACAGGAGATATTAGTATCCTGAAGTGGGAGCTGGCGTTCTGGTTTCTTGGAGTTATGGCATTTCTTGTTTTGCCTGGGTTATACCCCATCAGCAGCCTGATTCTACGAGTCGAGCCTACTTTTACAAGCGTCGAGACGATGCAAGGCCGGGTACGAATGATATGTACCAGTAGGCTTGGAGGATGGCCACACAAATGAACATAGGCCGCATGGTCTGCAATGGTTATATCTGTCTTTATTTTGCCTTTCCTATCCGGGACATATAGAGCATTTTATCGATTACAGCGGCGGGGGTCTTTCAGGCTACAGACGTCACCTACGCACGCATAGATAGATCAAATGACCATGAGCTTATTTAGTTCAGGTCGTGAATATGCATCAAGAATAATCCGGTGCACCCTGAATCATGTTGAGATTGGTGACTTATGCCTCGGCTTCGTCTTTACCGTTCACCTCACGACCACCGTAATCTGCGGCTAGAGTATCGAGGAAGTTGTCAGCCATCTTCTTAGCCCTTCTGCCCTCGAGCTCTTTCCTCCTCTCCTCTAACTGCTGGCGCCTAGCCTGCTTCTTGTCATCCAGCGCTCGTCTCTTCTCTTCCGTTTGCTGTCTCTCCTTCTCCAGGTTTTCCATCTCGGCCATCCGTGTTTCCTCATCCCGGCTGAACTTGTAGAAGCCTGCTCCTTTCGTTCTGATCTCGCTGTCCGCATCGTAGTGTTTGGCTTCGGGTGGCGTCGGACTCCTGTCACGCTTGCGCGCCAGCGCGTCCATATTTTCTGCATCTTCGGGGACGAAGGCAAGCGTTTGTATCGTGTCACCGTAAATGATCTGGGTCGGAGCCTTGGGTCGAGCCGCCATGCCCTCCAGTGCCTCTGCGCCAAGAACACCACGCCGGTGCTGGCGCTCCAGTCGGTCGATCTCGGCCCTGGTACCGCGCCTCAATCGACCGAATTCATCCTCATATTCAACCATTTCATTGCCATCTGTATTAGTCTCGGATGATTTGCCTTTGTCGCCACCGCCGTCGTAACCGTCGTCGGACCCCGAGCTAGACTCGTCATCTCGCTCACGCTGTTCTTCCGCCTCAGCCCATTTGCGATCAAAGTCGACGAGCGGTGCGGCCTCGTTCTCCTTGGAAACATAGTCGCCGCGCTTCATGGCGGCGTAGAGCCGAGCCTTCTCTTCCATCTTGCGCCGCGTGCTGGCCAACGTTTGCGCCTCGTCCTGCCCAGGCGCATCCTTGAGGAACAGCTTATTGTCGCGCCTCGCCTCTCGGGACGCTCTGGACTTGGACACAGCGGCATCTTTCGTGATCTTCGAGGGCCCTGGCCGCGACCGGGCGGCAGCGGACGTGGTAGACGTGGCGGAACCGTTGAGCAGCGAGGTCAATTGTGCTGTGAAGTCTAGGGTACTCGTCAAGGCCGCGTTGTTCTTTCGCCTTTTGGGCGCGGGCTGGCCGTAGAGATTCGGGTCTTGGGGCATGATTGAGGCGAATTTTCAGGCAGTAGTGAAAGCAGTGTGCTCTTGGCTGTGGTAAAGAAACGCTGGATCATGGGTTGGTGATGCGTTCCCGAGAAGGGGATTTCGGTTTAATCGTTGGGGTACCTCAAATAGCCATTGGAGATAAGCTGATAAGGATGTGCTGAGGGTTGGTTCAGTACTGTGAGGGCCGGGTGGGGGGTCCTGAATCCACCCCATCATTGTACACCCCCAAGCACTTTGCCGGATGGCTTCATGTCTGTTATTTCCCCACTGATCTTTATGGATCACTAGTAGAAACATGAGCGACAACACTACTTCATTGTCTCGTCCTATGTCGAATCTTTGCTTTGTGCCATACCCCAAAGTCCGCCGATATGTTCAACAGCCGATGAAGGCCTGGCCGGGAACAAAAATGCTTCAATACTGCGCTGCCGAAACTATGCTATTGAAGACCAGTGTGTCACTGTTGGGGCAAGGCTTATAGCTTAAGACTTACTGATAAAGGCTGGTAACATATGTCTCTTGCGCAGAGATGTACAAGAGCCCCCTTGGTTGCTGGTAGGCACAGCAGTAGTCAAGACGGAGTGTTCTCCCGCTGTATAGAGCAATACAGCAACAAAAGCATCACATTTACTTCACCGGCCACGCTTGATCATGTTGGCCCATGTCAATGATACGCATACCGAACGATGTTCGTCCAGTCTGTCAATTTTTGGATAGGAATCGCAAGGTCATTGGACCCGCGCCAAGCATGGCGTTTTCGGCGGTGTGTTGGTGAGCCTCGAGTACTTATAATGGTTTTTCCGTGGAACCGCTCACTTGCTCTCGCTGTTGAGGGACCCGACGCCTGTTTCCGTCCGAAACTTGCTGCAGAGTGACTTGCTTGTCTTGCCGACGGTTGTGAGGGCTCGCCTCGAGGACAGTCGCGCCGGACTCATACCGAGCGGCATTTTCGGTGAGGACAGGCGCCCGGCCACAGAGAAGGCGACAGAACCAGATGACAAGATCCAGAAGGACCAATATAACGGCTGGTAGTATGAAAAACAGACCCAGCGCGATCTTGTTGAGGAAAGTCAGCACCGCTGTTAAATCCAATGTCTGGGCGGGCGAATAGGAGAGCAACATACGCAAGCACCAGAGATGTATCTGACCATTGTGGGATAGGTCGACGACATCATCGTAGAGTCCATTAACATCTGTATCCAGGACGAAGAGACTGGCTCCTGGTCTCGATTCGCCATTGTGAACTCGCCAGCTGCAAAGATGGGGTTTCCTTATGGATGAGCGAAAGTGGTTTTCGGGAGCAAAATACCGAATGTACACTGAAGTTGGAAGCAATGGACGTGGCCCTGGGGGCTAACTGGCTATCGTGGGTATTCAGATGATCCCGGTCGCCTGGTGCTATCATGCCTCTTTGCATTGATCTCGTGCCTTAGACTTGACGCTCATGGAGAGAATCGATGCTGAAGGAATCCATCCAGGTATTTCATGACATCAGGGGTTGCGACAGTCCGTTGTGGGACAGAAACTTTGCGCAGTTGATGAATGCAAGTGATCCGCTGTAGTAGGCAGTGAGATGTTGTTCATGAGATGTAACTGATGTTGCATGCATTCCGTTCGATGACACTGAATGATCACCCACACATGCGGGTGGCAGTGCTACCTACCTAGAAGGAGATGCTGGGGTGTTCATACGCGCATGGGGAAGAGGGAAGGGGTCCATACGCACTGGCACACCTGGGAGGTATACGACAGGGGTCTGGGTGCCCCGCCTTCCACTCACCTTGAACACAAAAACTCCACCAAGCCTGCCCCACGCTTAGGATTCGCATATGCTTCACAGTCAGTTGAGCCACCTCTGTTACCCAATCTCCTGTCCACCCTGACAAACTTCTCCGCAACATCTGAGCATTCACGGAGACACAGCGGAGCCCAGAATCTCTTTCCTTGCGAAACAATGGGCCGAACGAAAAGTCGAGCTGAGCAGCGCGATAGCTGGCGTAACACTCGCGATCAAGATGCTACCGACATGCCCAGAAAGAAGTTCTATCGGCAAAGAGCACACGCGAACCCTTTCTCCGACCACCGGTTGGCTTAGTAAGCTGCAAACATATTCCTTAGTTGGCATCGCCTCGCTGACTTTCTTTTCCGTAGCCCTCCAAGCCCAGACTGCATGGACTGGTCATCCTTTTATCCGGGCTTCGTTGCGAGCAGAGACGATCAAACTGCACTATCAACCCCTGCGAGCAAAGCACTTCCCACAGTAAAACCTCTGACCCAGGATGTCGAGGTTGTGGACATTGGGTGCGGGTTCGGCGGCTTACTTGTAGCACTTGCACCTTTGTTGCCCAATAAACTTATCCTTGGTCTGTTCAAGTATAATGTCCTAGCCTGCCGTGTCAGTACTAACCTAACCTCGGAACAGGTTTGGAAATACGAGCCCAAGTATCCGAATTTGTGCAGGAGCGCATACGAGCCCTGCGAGCCCAGAATGTCGACACAGCTTTATACCAAAATATCGCCTGTCTCAGGGCCAACACCATGAAATTTCTTCCCAACTTCTTCGCTAAAGGCCAATTATCTAAAATCTTCATCTGCTTCCCTGATCCGCATTTCAAGACCCGGAAACATAAGGCCAGAATTGTATCGCCAACGCTAAACTCGGAATACGCGTATGCACTTCGTCCAGGCGGTATAGTTTATACGATCACGGATGTTGAGGCTTTACACCAATGGATGGTCGAGCATTTGGAAGCTCACCCGTCATTTATCAGACTCACAGGCGATGACGAAGCTTCTGATGAATGTGTCAAGGTCATGAAGTCCGAGACAGAGGAAGGCAAGAAAGTTGAGCGGAACAGCGGCCACAAATTTGTGGCTATCTTCCGCAGGCTAGAAGACCCCTCTTGGTGATGGAAGTCGACAAAACCTTCACGAACAGTTTTTGACCTGATGAATCCGATCACGGGCTTACCACAGCCCGATGCTTGATGACTTGCAAGCAAGTCAAGCAGGATGCACCGCGTCTAGGCGGGCTTCGTTGCGCGACGGGCCAACTATGTGCACTAGGAACAGGCACCTCGCGAGGGGTAGGACGCTGAACCGATTTCCCTTCGCTCGAGGCCTAATAGTGTTTCTGAGTTGAACCTGCTACCATGGACATGCCTAGTCATATGGCTTGCTCACAGTCTACGGCTGCTTTAAAGGGAACAACATGTGTCTGGGTCTCAGTCTTGGCGAGCCATAGTGCGTCCCTGGCATGGATTTCTTCGGCTGTACGATAGAGCAATGCGAAGTACTCAATTCGAGTTTCGGCTCAAAAAAACGTACACAAACACGGTAGCCTGGCCAAGTCACACCCGTCTGTTTAAATAGTTTTACGTTCAATGCAGCATTAAATTGCATGGTATCGGTCATCAAGTCGTTGACCAGGATGCATGCGCCTTATCTGCTGCATGGGCCAGTCAGCCTCACCGCCTGCCAATCAGGGGCGCTTGTCGTGCGACAGCTCGTCCAAGTGTCCCGGGATTCCCAAAGCCCCCCTCTACGACTCTTATGCGACATCAAATTCGAATTCCAGCGACAGCATGATTATGACTACAAGTCATGCCGTGACAACCTTCGCTACTTGGATTGCTAGATTATGGCTCTCTCAAAAAGAGACCTAATCCTCTCCGGCTTCGCATGCTTTGTCGGTTGGGGATACGTCGTTAACTGGGCTCCCGCGCTACGATGGTCAGGTTACGCCTATTGCAGCGGCATTGCTTCGACCTTGCTCGCCATCCTTTTGGTCATTCTCCTTACTTCCAGGGGCTCACGAATCGCTCTCAATCATCGGTCTCCCCGCCCGAATGGTGCCATCTTCCATGACCCGACGGCATGGGCAGCCGATTGCGCTAGCCTACAAGTTCGACAATCGTATTCAAAGACATCGCTATACGCCAGCCTGCCGAACGTCTCCAGCGCCCTTGACGACCTCCTTGGACTTATTATGCGCGACTTCGTCTCTTCTTGGTACTCCCACATTAGCAAGAACCCCACCTTCTCAGACGAAGTCGATAAGGCCGTCCGTATTGCTCTCGGCAATCTTCGAAACCGGCTGTTGGAGCTCGACCTCGCCGAAATAGTCACCAGCAGGCTTGTTCCCGTAATGACGATACACTTCAAAGATTTCTGCGATGCGGAACACTCGGTTCGAGGGAAGAAACTCAACCGCTCTGTAACGGAGTCTGAAGAGCTGGATCTTGCCATAGCGTCCAAGTATCGAGAGGGCAAGCTACATGCCGCAGCCTCTCTGTCTTTTCCCGATACGAAGCTTGTGCAGCAAGACTACTTGCGGAAGACTGTTGCCCGCATTCTTCCCAGTTTGTTGCCACCGAATCTACTCGCCAGCCGCGCCGTGTCCATCATAATCCGCGAAATTGTGGCTTGTGCGATCCTCTTCCCAGTGCTACAACTACTTGCGGAACCTGATACGTGGAATCAAATCATGGAGAACTACGGGAGGTCAATGCTCCAGGACCGCTCAACCGTGCGAAAATTGAGGGCAGCTCTGGACCAACATGCTTCCCCAGCACCTAAGCCGGGCAAAGCTGCGATCATACCCCGCCTTGTCCCTGGTGATAGCGAACGCAAGTTCGAAAAATTTATCCGCGCAATCCGGAAAGTCAGTAACCTCTCCGACGCTCGGCGCCTTCGAAGTGAAATTGCCAGTCTTTACAAGCGGGACTCGTCACAGGAGAGCCAAGACCAGGTCTATCTTCGTCGCCTGGACATGGGAAAACGCCTACTTGATCAAAAGGTACAGCTCCTTGCCGTCGGCGGAGATCATAAAGCTGCAGCGCCTGCTACATCGATGAATACCCCGACACCGAGAACATCCAAGCTGGAGAATGCAACGCTCGTTGATCTCTTGCGCGACTCGTCCGGGTTGTCGTACTTCATGGAATTCATGGACAGGCACCATGTTTTGCCCCTGGTGCAGTTCTGGCTCGTTGTCGACGGCTTCCGCAACCCGTTAGAGGAAGAGGAAGCCAACGATGAGCAGATGCCGTCGCAACTTCCCATGTGGAGCGACTCTGATCGACTTGACCTCGCTCAGATCGAGCAGGCATACATGGCCAATCCTCAGCTCAACATATCGCAAGCTGCCAGGAGTGAGGTGCGAGCTTTCTTGAGTGCCGGTAAAGCTGCGACGCCGGAACAGTATTACAAGGCTAGGCGGGCCATACTTGGGGCGCAGTCCGCTGTATTGGAAAATATGCAGGGGCGGTATTTCCAAAACTTCAAAAAATCAGATCTGTTCTACAAATGTCTAGCCTCGCAGGAGGCTTCAGCACTGCAGCTCCCTATGTCACAACCTTCACACACGCCATCATCTCACGAACCCTCAGTCGCCGGACCAGCACATCCGCCGACACATAGAGCTTCACAATCATATCAGAACAAGCCCAAGTCTGCCACACGACCAACTCCTCGACTCGCACATCTGCAGCCCAAGCGTGGCGGCTCCGTGACAGATTTGAGGTCCATGGAGAGCAGTGGCACTGGCATTGATCATCTTGCGAATTCACGGCAATCCCTAGACGAGGAGCCCTCCAATCGATTATTCGACGACGAGGAACTCGATGTCGACGGCATGATAGACTCTGTGCAGAGCTTAGACCAGGACATCGACCGACATGTGCCAGACACAACTGTGGTTCAAGCTATGGAAGAAGCACTGAATAATATTATGGAGGACGGCGATCGACCCAAAACGGCCGAGGAATTCAGAGCTTCTCTATTCGGACCGGAGGAGATGCGGCCAGCTAGTCTCTTTTCAGGTGATAACGATTCGACACGGGGCTCGGTGGATGCTATGAAAACTATGGCAGCCGCAAAAGATGGCGAAAGACCAAGTCTGTCGTCGCTGGGCCTCGTCAGCGCTGCGTCGCGCATTGGTGTCTTCGTGGACGACGATCTATTTGGTGACGAGGACAGGTACATCCCTGAGGAGCAAGATGATCTAGCCGACGAATCACGAGCGGATGAAGATGACGAAGTACACGAGGCTGCTCCTGGCGACCTGGGCTTAGCAGAAGCCATCGCAGCATTGTCTAATGACATTGAGCGTCTAGCCGCCCAGGATGCCATCGTGGATTCTCTTACTCGAAAAGCAGAACTGACAAACAACACAGCCGAGCTTCGCATTTTGAGAAAGTCTAAAGCGAGCTTGCAACGAGAAATGCGGCGCAAGGAGCTCCAGAGGCAGCAGTACGTGGTACAAGAAAGCGACAACAGCTTATATGGGCGGTCTACAGTCAGGATCAAGTCTATCCAAGTGGGACGAGAAGATGACGGAAGAGAATTCGCCTTGTACGTGATCGAAGTGCAGAGAAACGCTGGCGAGAAGATGCCGGCAGCTACGTGGATGGTTACAAGACGGTACAGTGAGTTCCACGAGCTTCACCAGAAGCTTCGTTCAAGCGTACCGTCTGTCAGAAATCTCGATTTCCCTCGACGACGGGTCATGATGAAGTTCCAAAGCGAGTTCCTTCGTAAGCGGCGAGCTGCTCTGGAAGTCTATCTACGTGAACTTCTTCAGTTGCCAGAGGTATGCCGCAGCCGGGATCTGCGCGCATTCTTATCGCAAAGCACAATTGCTGAGGGCCAGGATCTCGTCGACCGAGAGTATCAAAGGGATATGATCACCCGTCTATATGACTCGGTAACGGACGGCATGGAAGATATTTTGGGGTAACATCCCAGTCCTTGACCAGCTATCGGTGGCTGGGCAGAACCTCATCGCGGCAGCCACCAGCCAGCTCAACACCATGCCCTTGAGTGTAGCCGAGAACGGCATCAGCGCGGCCGAGGCTGAGGCTGAACTGAACGCTTTTGAGAACAAGGAGTTAGAGCCCTTCATCAAACCAATCTGCGACATCTTTCTGGAGGTATTCGAGCTGAACAGGGGCAACAACTGGCTTCGCGGCCGGGCTGTCGTTGTGGTGTTGCAGCAGCTCCCTGGGAGGCACGATTGAAAGGAAGGTAAGAGACAACGTCAAGTCACTCGTTCAGGAGGAAGCCATACTCCGTTACATCGGACTGGTGCGCGACAGCCTGTGGCCCGACGGACAGGCACGGAAAGAGCGAAAGGCCAGGACTGCATCTGAGAAGAAGAAAAGTCGCACAGAGGCTAGCTTGATGCTGGCAACGCTCGTCCCTGATGTTGCCGGCAGTGTAGTAGGAAGGGCGAACGCCCAGGCTGCAAGCAGACGGATATTCGCGACCCTCAACAATTCCAGGCTCAAGTACGCGCATCCTACCCCTTTTCCGGACAACTCAACTAATGACCGAACAGCGCTCATCTTGCCTTCACTCTGATGGACGAGTTTATAGATATATTGTTTGAGTGACACAATGTTTGTGCGAGGCAGGGTTGTGCTCCGAGGCTTTGAAGGATGGGAATCATTGCATACATAGAAGATTGAGAATTTTAACCAGAGGCGTCTGGATGCCAACTGCATTGGTAGCAGCCTTCAATTCAATCGAACTGCATTATTCCCCGGACAGAAGACTGCTAGCTTGACAAACACCCGTTTTAATAAACCAAGTGACAAACCGAGGAGCTCTGACCCCAGCCAGCCGTCAAGCTCTTGGTAGTGCTCTGCGTGTCAGGGGGCTGGAGAGACCTTGGAGGTAGGGTAGGTACCTAACGGTACTTCTATCCTGCCGGTGGCTTGCACAGCCGCACGGCACAACGTCAGCCCGTGGAGACCGTTTACACCTTCTCCACCCTCCTCGGTGCACAAGTCTTCCCCACCTGGACCTTTAGGCGAGTTGGCGAGCCATCGAAAGCTCCTCTGCAGCTACTTACCTTACCTACTCCAGTGTGCTTGCATCCAGTTGACCACGATTTAGCCGCTCCGCCTCGTACACCTCCCAACTTCACCTCTTCCCATCAGCCGCGGAGCTGCCGACACCAGGTCATCACGGCTAACAATCTCACCGACGCCGCTGCCATCGAGACTCTTGCGCTGCTGTAGCTGCAGCCGTAGCCTGGCGCCAATTCTATCGACATAACCCAGTCGGACCTCAGCCTTTGATACCCCCATACTTCCAAACTCTTGTCTGACACGGAGATTCCTGCGCGCCGACCTTGATCACTGTTTTCTCCCGACAGTCACTCATCGCCCACTCCTCCAATTGCGGTCACATCCATCTACATTCCTGCATCATCACAGCAGTGTCTCCGAATTCCTGCACGTCGAGCGAGTCGATAAACCCTGCAAAGACAGGCGCAGCCTCTCCATCCCGGCTCTACTTCACGACAAGATGACCGAGGTTTCGTCTACCAGGCTCTACCTGGGCAACCTCCCGCGCAATGGTAAGAACACTCCTTTCTACAGAGATATCATTAGGTCATGAATGTCATGATGCATCAATAACCCTGCAGCAATGACTGACAGGCTGTTCGCGATTAGTTACCAAAGCTGAAGTTGAGGGGCACTTTGCTACCCATGGCACTGGCGAAATTACTGAGATAAAACTCATGAATGGCTTTGGCTTCATCGAGTACAAGGACGCCATGGATGCGCGTGATGTTGTTCCTGGTATGTTGACAATATGAAAATGGCTCCTCTACAGTACGTCATCGTCGCTAACCTCACCACACAGCCTTCCGTAAGCCTAGAACCTCGACCGTCAACCGTGCCAACCCACGAACCATCTCGCTAACCAAATATCACCAGATGGATCTGACTTCATGGGCGAACGTCTAACCGTTCAATTCGCTCGTGGCACCCGGCACCGCGATGGCGGCGCCGCTCCTGGTGGGTTCAACAACAATAACAACACTCACAACGAGCGGGCTGCACCCCGACCACGTCGTACTCAGCACCGGATGCAGATTACGGGACTACCCACGGATACCAGTTGGCAGGTCTGTTGTTCTCTCCCATTCTCATAAGCTGGATCCCCGGACATCTACCCCTTTCCCGTTTCTTGGGCCTGCGCTCGATATCCCGGACTTATCCTCTCGGCTCAACTTGGCGTCCCTTACCAGGCGCCCCAGTGAGGCTCTGCGGCCCTACCTGGGCCAGCATCTCGGTTTCTCACCAGCCTCTTGAGTCCGAAAGGATGCTTCCCGTTCCTCCCCTGGTGGATGTCGACTACTGGTTATCTTCCGTCGTATCTGGCTTCTTTTTGGCTTGGACAACATTTCCCCACCGACACGTGACAACAGCGTCCTGGACACCGACTTACTTGGAATTCTGGAATAGGACCTGAAAGACTTCGCTCGTCAGTCCAGCCTCGACGTTGTCTACTCCGAGACTGGCCGCGACGGCAATGGACGCGGGTAAGATATGTCCCTTTAACCAGCTTCACCAGCATCGGCTAATTCCATTATTAGCTTTGTTGAATTCGAAACCGCTGCCGACCTCAGAACCGCTGTGGAGAAGCTTGACGGCCGAGAGTTCAAAGGCAAGCCTGTCAACTGCGTTGCCGACGTGAGTCAAATTTTAGAGCACCCTTCAATGCATGTATATGACTGACACGAAGACAGACCCAGCCCGACATTCCTCCACGTGACAACCGAGGTCGTTCCCGATCCCCCAACGGTCGCCGCCCTCCTCCTCCTCCTCCAGTGGACGACTACGATCGTCGCGGACCGCCTCGTGGATACAGTCCCCGTGGTTACCGCGACGGCTACCGTGACAGAAGCCCTCGCAGAGAGTACTACGACGAAAGGGCTCGCTATCGGTCGCCTCCGCGGCGCCCCATGGATGATTATCCCCCTCCTCCCCCGCGCGGTCGCTACGACGATCCCTATCGCCGGGACTATCCCCCACCTCCTCCGGACCCATACGCCAACAGCAGGCCTCCTTATGAGCGGCCTCCTCGTGACTTTCCCCCTCCGCGCGACCCTGGATACCCCCGCGATCCTTACCCTCCCCGCGAGTATGAACGTGGCGGCCGCTACTGGTAAATGATCGCCATGCACGAGTCACTTTCAGGGTCCTATTTCTGACGGGTTCCTGCTAGATCCCGTGCCGCTGGGAACTCCGTTGTGGCGCAAATGTACGCTCAGGCTGGTAGTGTAGCGGTGGTTTGAGGCGAGCACAAGCCGTTTTCCAACGGTTCTCGGAAGGGATATCCCGGGGTGGGTACCGTTGTCACGCCACAATACTGATCTCTTCTCCGAGCTAAGTCAGCAGTCCACAGAGCTCATATTTCATGTATACCTTGCGTTGGTGGATCACGATGATATGTCATGCCTATTTATGTGGTGTGGCCACTGGCGTGGGTCTCTGGTTCGAGGGTGCAAAAAAGGGGGACTGGACGAGGCCGGATCGCAATGATGTTTCTTGTACAATAATGACCATGACCTCCGAACAAATTGAACTTGCACTCGTTACTCAACTTGCTCCAAGTACACTGAATAAATGACCAAGCACAGCGCAGACATGAGATGTATAAAAAAGATGTGGTGCATCAGAACCAGCAACCACGCTACGCTACGCCGTCTTCTTCCACTGTGTATATACCCCGATGAGACTGCTGACGGTTCCAGCAAGGCCGACCAGACCATCATCGACGGCAACCCAGCCCAGAGCTGAGGTTGGCACGGACAGGTCGCAGACGTCAGACAGGAGCTGAAGTCGGCTGGCAGCTCGTTCCCTGCGAAGAGTCAGCACATTCGTTTGACGAGGAGAGGGCAGAGCACGGCGTGGTGCCGGTTTGGGGCTGTCATACAGGGCTATCCTCTTCCCCTCAACCACGCCTTCACCATCCTTCTTATCGACTCGCGCCTCGCGCTGCTGGAGGCGATAGAGCGTGTACACCTGAGCGACGACGCTGCAGGCAATACCCATGGCCCAGAAGCGATAGGCCTCGCGCTGGAGGGTCTTGGCGCGGGGCGACTTGCGGATGCCGACGGCATCTAGGACGGTGGCCATGTCAAAGGAGAGGTAGCCGGCGTAGCCGAGCTGGCGGCCGACGGCGGCGTAGCGCAGGATGGGATCCGTGGTTTTGGCATCGGAAGCGGCAGCGGCGGCCTTGAAGTGCTCAACGTTCTTGCCGACGCGCATCAGCTTGCGGGTCAGGCCAAACTGCTTCTTGATGGCATCCCAGGGAGCAGTCTGCGCAGCCGTGCCGTTGGTGCGGAGGAGATACCAGGCATAGAAGCGGGCGAAGTATTGAAGGGTGCGCAGCAGCTTGTCGCGCCCGACGGTGGTTGCGACAAAGCGCAAGTAATGCGCCACAGAGGGGTGGTAGATGAGAGCGTCGGCGACCATGATGCGCGTGCAGTCTGATTATCCGGGGTCGATGGAAAGTATGGGAGGGGTTGCTGGACTTTCGATTGTGGCGATGCAGAGGTTCACGTCGTTGGCGAGAGATGAGGGATGGCTGATTCGGACAATTCAGCGTTCGATCACAAGCAAGGCAGATAAACACACACAGCGTGCCGGATTAGCAGTAAACGCACGTTCAGGGAGGGCCGAGTAAGGCGTTTGGGGGTGAGCTCGTCACGTCACAGCACATGCTGAGGTCACCACTACATTACCGAGCCGGACGCAAGAGCGGATCCAGTGTGTCTCTGGACTGACGTATGCTGCTTGGACTAACGAGCGCATGTCAGGCTCGTGCTGCTTCCATGCATCATGATCACT